GAAGTTTTGGAGGACTTCAAGTTATCATGCATGAAGATGATTAATAATAGCTCCTAAGGTGTGCTAGGAGTCATGCAATGAAACATTTGAAGCCTTGAGAAGGCTCCAAAAGTCATGCATGGAGGAGGAATAAATGAATATTTGCTGATTGTGTATCTCAACAAATAAGGGATGGGTTACTTAGGATTTGTTTTTAAGATCCAAAGATTCATGTAATATAACATTTGGAGCCTTGAGGAGGCTCCAAAATTCATGCATGAGGAAAGAGAGATGATGTTTGTTGATTTTGTGCTTCAACGAACAAGGGGTGGAATGAACCTAGGATTTTGATATTAAGGTTACATGAATTATGCAATGAAGTGTTTGTAGTGTTGGGGGCTCCAAATCATTCATGCATGAGAGGGAGGAGGCTCTATGAAGGAGCTCCTAACGTGGAGCAAAGATTCATGCAATCTAACATTTGGAGTCTTCAGGAGGCTTTAAATATCATGCATGAAGGAGATGTGAACGTGAAGAGAGTTCCCTAATTTGTTTGAGTGTTTTGGACTCATGTGAAGAGGGAAGACTCATTCCTACCACTTCTAGAAAAATTTTGAAATCAAATTTGATATGATTTAAAGAAACCTAGAAGTGTGTGGACATGTTTTGCATTTTAGGAGATTGATCATACGCTCAACTTGATTATCATTGCACTCAGACCTTTCAATTTACAGATCACACTAATCATACTTAGATAATTATGATATATGATTGGATATGATCCATAAACCTTTGAAAGCCATAGAAAATTCCACCTTTGTTTTACAAGTACTTAGGAATTAAATGAGTATATTTATAAATTTGCAAACTTTAGGTAAGCGAGTTAGCAAATGACCCACAACATATGCATGTTTTGATCATTACATTTCAAACATCTAATTTGGAGGTTACATATATAGGGTCAAATAATTCTAAGACATGAGAGCTGATGGGCCTTTGAGGGCCTACACAACACCTTAAGCTCATTTCAAAATTAGATGATCCTATTTGATTCTTTCCAAATTTTCAGAAGTTTGTGGATGTTTCAAGCAAGTGATGATTGTTATGATGAATGCACTAAACTTGATGAAGAATTCAATCATGGATTTGGCTGATGGTGCATGTTGTGAGGTTTACAACATAGGTCTTTGGGGACCTTTGGTAAACTTCACAATAATTTGATATCATAGATGTTCATGTTGAATCAAACAATTCCATTATAAGCTTTCATCAAGTTATGGGGGCAATCAATTTCAGCATATGTAAAATCTCCTAAACACATCAATTTTGTTTTGACAATAAGAGTTGAAAAGTTTCATATGCAATTTATACGTTTGAAGCCTGTCCATGCAGGTAGGAAACATATATCTAAAGCTTAGAGGGATTTGCAATCAATTTTGACTTGATTGGTGCGTTGGAAGAATGAATGAAAGTCTCCTATGTTAACGATTTTGTGGATTGGAGGGAATGTTTATTGGTTGTCATCTCCCTGAATTTTATAAAAAATCACCCAACATAAATTTGATTAGTTTTAGTTGTTCTAGGATTTGCACAAAACGAAATCTCGGGGTTCATGTAACAAATTCTACAACATTTTTTTTCATCTTTCGATCAATCAAATGTATTTTGGATATTTAACAAAGCCAAGGAGAATCCACAAATTTCATTAAGCGCGATCTCTTATGTTTGTGCGTTAATTTTATCATGACGCATAAATCTAAGATATTGAACAAAGCATGCAACCCTTGGAGAGAATCTACACCTCGACATTTGACTTATCATCAAATAAAATCTCCTGAACTTAGTGGTTTAGTTGTAGGTGAAGGCGTTGGGCTCAAAATTAGTGCAAATACGTACATTTGAGAGGTGTTGGATAACAATCCAATGCCCCTACATGTAAGATCATCCTCTTTTGGCTCTCACATGAGAGCAATTTCATGAAAATTGCTGGATTTCCCCAAATTTGCTACGAGGACAGCAGGTTCTTTGGTTTAGAAATTAATTGCAAGAGTTTCTAAGGGTTTGAGGGATTTGGAGCATCAAACATGACCAAGGGCTTTGAGACCTAGGGCTTTTTTAGAGATTTTACCTTGCTGGGTAAGTCACGGCACCACCCACTATCCATCACCTTCTAAAGGAGAGAAAGCGAAGGAAAGAGGTGACGAACTGCTGTCCAAGCCTCTCCGAAAGGCATATTTGTTGTCAAAAGTCCTCCAAACTGCTATCTTCACTGTTTGTATGTTCCCGGATTTCCCTTTGCTGTTCCGAGCTCACCAGAGTTGAACGGAGGAAGAAGAGGTCTCCTACAGCAGAAAATCGGCCTCAAGATACCTTTGCAACCTTTCCACTCCACTCCCTACTATTCGACAGGGAGAAAATAATAGAAAAGGGAGAGAAAAAGAGGATGTAAACAATAGGAAGACTCTAACACAGTCCAAGAAAGTTGGAACCCCCCCCGGCCACTCGACTTCAATCTTTGGGTAAGCATGCTAAATAGTCTTCCTCGGTCGCACCTCTTCCAGTCACGCAGAGCAGGCTCAATCGGTCTATACATTCATGCAAGAGCTCCTCTTTAATCCCTCTAAGTCATAGGCACGAACGGACCTCCTATTCGGGTTGGCACTAGTAGATCTCCCGCTGGACCCCCCTCTCGGCTGGATGCTAGGGCACGTGGGAAGAAGCCGGAAGCTCGTTTGGCCGCCCCTTTTCCCCGGATGCACACACAAGGAATCCTCCCTCACACACTCTCTGTTTGTTCATGCTGGATGGAAGCATGCCAGGAAGAGGAATCTTTTCCACTATGTCGTTCGCTCAGGTATATCGCAAGCCAGAAGATCGATGGGAACTAATGTCCTTTCCCACGCTCTCTATATGCCAAACGACGTCTACTCGCTCAAAGTGATTTTCCTGTGCTATCTAATCTTTCATCGCATAAATCATAAGTAAAGACCCTGCAGCAGCTGATCTTTGAATTCTAGCCCTTGGATCTGATTTCCTGATTTGAGAAATGATTTAGATTGGCTAGAAAGTCAAATAGAACCTATTTGGAATGAAATTGAACTTGGGTTAGGCTAATTGAGCCGAAATTGTGCCCAAATTGAACCCGAATTGGATCAATTTGAGTCAATTTATGTTCGATTGGGTCCGATTGAGTCAATTTTGCGAAATTGAACTTGAATCGGTGCCGAATTGAGTCAAATTTGGTTCGACGAGGCTAAATTGGGTTCAATTTGGACTGATTTGGGTCGATCTTGATCGATTTAATTTTAATTGGATGAAATTGAGCTTAATTTGACTCAATTAAGGTGTTATTTGGGTCAATTTTATTTCGACAATGCTTGATCGAGCCCAGTCGGGCTCAAATCGGCTCAATCGGGGTCGGGTCGATACGAAAATAACGTCAACATGTTGAGAAGCTACCAACACAAATAATTTTACTCCATTAAGAAATTGACTCATTGATCATTTTTGCATAAGTAATAGTTTATTATACATCTAAGATTGTTCATTTTTTAATATCTATAATCTATAATTATATAGCAAGTGTGTCAATGCTGCACACACACATAAATAATTCATTTTTGTAAATTTACAAATTAATATTATTTGTATGTAATTATAAAAATTTTAAATTACTTTAAATAATATAAAATTAATTTTAACTATTCTATGTTATGCTGGAAAAAAATTAAAAATTTTAAACTTTCAATTATTTACATAAAAATTAGAAAACTATTTATATTTAACAAACCTAAAGCTAACATACATCCTAAAAACTATGTAGTTAAACAAATTAAAAAGGTGTAGGTTTGAACCAAAATTATAGATAAAAAAAGGTATTGATATAAACCATAAAGCAGAAATCTGACACTGAGATAACATTCCAAAAAAAAAAAAAAATAAGGGTCTGATATAGAAATATCATGTATGAAATTATGAAAGGAAAAGTTTGTAGGAGGAAAAAGAAGTGTTGTTCCTTTAGAACTAGAAAGAAATTGGCTTGAAATAAGGGTCTGATAACTAAGGCAATGAAGGAGGCCAAAAGGAGGCGAAGAAGTTAAGGGAAGAGGAAAAGAGAAAAAGAAGAAAAGGGCGCTGGTCCGTTTTTCATGTTTTAGGTTTCGGTAGCCTAGTCTTTGAAATCTCTTCTCACTTAAGATTGGTTGCCTGCATCCTTTAAAATTGCAGCAAGGTTTGATAGAAAAATTACCTGTGGCCAGAGGCCACCAATATGAGCTACCGGAAACATTTCTGGCGGCTTATGTGGGGGTAATAGATGAGGTTGCAATCTAGAGTTATTGTTGGATTATTAAAATGGAGTATTTCAAGATTTTTTTGTGGTAAGATGATCATATGGAGACTAAAAGCTAGCTTTTATAAAACAAAAAGTAGGCAAGTTATGATATAAAGTATTGGGTAATAAAAATTGCAAATAGTTAAGTCGAGCATGATAGAAATATAAATGTTAAAAATAGATGTATGACAAAAATATGAAGAATAAATTGATTAATGATTATATCATATGGTCAACTACATTAGCATTTATTGAAAATATGATAGTTAAAAATAGACTTGTTGCTTTGGACATATGCAATACAGGTTAGAAATTGCATCCATTAGACATGTAAACAAAAGTAGCGTCAAAGGATTAGTAAGAAAAAAAAAAAAGAGTAGACCTAAGATAACATTGATAGTTAAAAAATACCCATGAAGAATAGATTTAGCACCTCATGCAACAAGTAGATAAAAGAATGGATAGGGAGATTTCATGGATCTGGGCCCGATTTGTTGGGATAAGGCTAAGAAGGTGATTATGATGCTTTATAAGACGCTAATACACTTTCTATTGCTTTTCTATTAACATCAGTTTTATCATTGCTGATTGCTAGCTTTACCAGTTTTATGTGCCTTATTTTATTAAATTCCATAACTCTCAGATTACTGCTGTCATTGATAGTCACAGGAAAATAGTTGTTTTAACATCTTAGTGCCTGTAGATGTTTCTTGATTTCCGTACTTCATTTCATTTCCCATTCTTGACTGATTTGAACGGACTACTGGCCAGTATTGGCTTCCGATTATACAGTTTAGCAAACAAGCTGAGTTCTGAAATGCTATGGCATCTTCTTTTACAGGATTCGGTAATCAAGGTACTTGATTTATTTTATCATGATCGAAACTATGCAAGATTCTTTGTGTTGGAAACAATCGCAAGGGTTCCATATTTCGGTGAGTGTTTATGTTATATTGTAGCTAGAGATAGTTTACTTCTTTTTGGTACCTTAGTTTTTTAAGAGTTTCGTCAGATCCCTTATGTGCATGCTTTAGTGATTGAAAGGGAAGGTTTATACTAATCGCTGCCTTTTTTTTCCTCCCAGCCTTTATATCTGTACTGCACATGTACGAGAGTTTTGGCTGGTGGAGAAGAGCTGACTATCTGAAAGTTCATTTTGCTGAAAGTTGGAATGAGTTGCACCATCTATTGATTATGGAGGTATTACTGTCTTCTCAAAGCTTTTTCACTTTCACTTTTTTAGGTATACAATCTTCATTTTGGTCAAATTAATAATTTAATCACCCTCTCTCAAAATTTCCTCCAGTTTGTCAGCTTGGAATTAGATTTACATGTTTTTAGCTCTCATAAAGATCAAAGCTTTCATATTGAATTTTCTTTAATTTTATTTGTATATACTATCTTCCCCTTTCTTTCCCATAAATGTTTGGATTGTGGGCTCCAAAAATTCGGCCCCGGCCTCCCTCGCTATACTTTCTTTTCCCCTCTTTTTTTTTTTTTGGGGGGGGGGGGGGGGGTGCGGTTTAACGGGATTAAGTTCCGGTATATATTTTGGGAAGATGGGTTTGTAGATAAGAAACTACCTAGAGATTTCTCCCTCATTTTGCGAGGACTTTATGATATGAGTTTTGGTTTCCTATAGGCGCAAGCCCCTATAGTTAATTACCCCTCCCGATAATGAGACAGAATTTTCGATTAAGGCTAGTCGTCAATCAGATATGTTATATCCATATATATGTAGTATCTGGCTTATAGTAGCAGCACGAGCATGGTATTTGGAAGGATTGATATTTAAAACAAAAATTTCACCATCTTCCACTTAAAGCGGATGGTGGGGCAATGGATGATGGACCTGATCAAAATACCATGGTTTCGTCATCCCGGGCCATTGTGGTTCATGGTCTACTTAGTCAAAGAAGGTAGTTGACCCAATTTGACAGAAGGATCCTTATCGGCAGCCATGAGTTGCTTCGTCTAAGGGGACCTTATAGACCTGGGGTGGGTATTTGCTTAAGGGGACAAATTTGAATCAACTTTAGCAAATAGAGGGCTTTATGCCCTATTGATCATATCCTATTGATTTGTATCTCAAGGATTTAATGCCACTAAGAAACGTATTGTTCTGGCCATAACCGCTATCTCGTGGTGTCATTTGACGGTGAAACTACTCAGTTCATAGGGCCCTGGGTCACAGCCGTTTATCCAGTGGTGCCATTTGGAGGCAAAATCGCTGGTCAAAGGACATGTTCCACATTCTTATTGGCAAGAGATTGTTTGATAATGGATCATAGTGATATTTTCAACTAGGCATTTAACTCCATGTGAGCTGAAGTTATATTCAATTTTGTCCATCTCGGCAAACTGTTGCGGATGGTGGATGGATTTTGCTTTGAGTGGTTAATGATTGAGTTTCAATTTTAAATATTTTGGATTTGGATGATCTTGAGATTTTTGGATCTTCGGGTATTTGGGATGGCATTCAAAATATTTGGAATAAACCCCTCCGGTTGAGATTTGCATTCAACGCGACTATCATCGGTGTGATTTTGAGGTCATTTTCATTGATTAAGCCTTGTCGATCCTATTAACTTGCCCATAGGAGATAGGGTTCGTCGGCATTGTGAATTTGTTGATGAATTTTCTTTGTTGAAGGCTTTGAAGGCCTTATATAAACATATAAAATAGATAATCCAGTCGACACCCTGATCGTATATCTGCTTGATAATTCAAGTCGTGTCAACTCCTATCTATACATATAGAAGGATCGGACTTGAACTACGTTTATTTATTGACCCGCGCAACATCCTTAGACGTCACGTGTGTATCCATAACACGTTCGTCGGGACTCATGCGGGTTTTGTGATTACACCCACCCCTTTTGTGTACCTGTGTGTCTATAAACTATGGTGCATATGCAGGAGCATTTTTAAGATATTTAATGGGTCTTCTACGACAGCTCGTAGGAGCCTATATTCATTATAGCGCTTTTGTATTTGTCCATAAGTGACATGTTTAATGCATGGCAGGTCTTCAACAGCGGCCCGTAGAAGCTCATGTTTGTTGTAGTACTTCAATACTTGTATGTAGAAGTTATGTTGGATGCACGATCACTGTTTATCAAGAAACTTGCAAGCCTTAATAATCTTATCCAACTCGATGTTCAGAACCTGGATGAACTGAGATTTGCTCACTCCACAATGATTTGATCTGGCTTTCTCTTCCCCGAACTCGCATAGGAATTAATGGGAAACTCCTTAATTATGTCATCATCATCATTTTCTATTGTTGGCTTAAATAAAAAATCAATCATTTCAACATTGGATGACTGTCTTTACTGTCATCTTGTTCTTCCAAGCTAGTGGTTACTGCCTCGAGCAGACATTGTAGCGATTGAAGGCCAATTAGATCATAAATAGGAGAAATAAGTGAGATATTCATTCCTAAAAATGATTGTCGTGTCCCTTGATAAAATTAGAATAGTTTGTGTATTGAACTCGTGTCGGACAATTGTTTACCGCGGGGGTGTCATAATGTCATTGCTATAACAACTCGCAGGTATTTTGAATATTTTACGGGTATGCTGCCTTTGCCTTTCATGCATATAATATATATATATACCGCCTTTGATTATAGGTGACATGTTGTACGTACACCTGCATCGTAATCTTGATCGCAGAGTATTGTTGTAGTTTCCTTAGAGGTTTTGGTAAGATAACCTCCATCTTCAAGGTACATCCATTATTACCACTTTTTGGTGAGCTAAGAAAGTTGGTGTGTCCTATGGAAGTTGAATCTTCGTTGCTCATGATTTGGAGAGACATTATTAATATACGGGCTGTATCAATCATCTTGCTTCATAAACACCACATTGCACCTTACTTGATGGTGATAGTGTCTTGATACCTTCTTCATTGATATTCACATGCAAGTGATTGCACGTATCCTCTAATGTTCATTATTTACAGACTTCGCTTGCTTATTTGCACAAAGATATTGACTATCATTGTACTCATCATACATCCTTGCAGCCAATGCAATTTTTCTCAAATCAGTCAACTGCTTGGCTTTCATCTTCAATTGATTATCACCTATTCATATTTGTTTGCAAACAAGTGGCATTTGACTATTCGTTTATTATGAGTCACTTGCTTGTTACTCGTAGGTGAGTAGCATTGGATGTTATAAGTCTTTCATTGTCATATGAAAATGATTAGGAGTCTTTTATGATGAATTTGCTTGATGAAATTACCTCCTAATTAGAGTGACAAATCCTTAATGTCCACTAAAAAATTTTATATTGTTAATCATGAACATATCGCTACATGTCCATTTATTCCTTGTTGATGATTCTTTGCATGTTCCTCTTGAAGCTTTGGTTATTACAAGCATCATGTCCATTCATCGGTGTTCATTTGAACACCTTGGAAATTGATTTGCCATGGAGTCCTTGTTTGAAAATAGACTCCACTTGCAACTTCTTTGTCTTCAATAATGATTTACAATATATGAGATGAGCTTGATATCATACTCCATATTTTTCTTATTCTAATCAGATCATCATTGTTATCGTTATACAAAAAGAGATTTTCATGTCAAACCTCATCATGAACCTACACATGAATCCTTATTTGTTTAAATGATTCAAACTTTCCTTAATTAGGATTTGCATTCAAATTAGAAATTTGATGTCACTTTTCAAATCAAGTTTTTTTATCGATTAATCTTTTTTTTTGTCCAAGTTCAAATTAAGTTCAATGTCATTTTGTGCAAGCTCAAGCTTTTGAATTTAGTTTGAGTTCAAGGTGCAAGTTCAAGTTTGTTTGAGTCCTGTGCTATCCGAAATCAAGTCTTCTGTTTGTTCAAGTCTGAGTTCTGGTCTAAATTTAAAGTCCCCCCTGTGTCACTGAAAATTTTGGAAGCCTCCCGGCGTCTTCCTCGTTTAGGGGAAAAACCATGTGGTAGCCTTCCCCTCCACGCTACATGAGCGCTTCAGGTAGATGTCGGGTGACTCTGTGGCTGTATTTTTTTCAATCCCCGTGACGCTACATGAGCGCTTAAGGGTTTTTAGCACATGTTGAAAAGAGCACAGTTGTTTCCCCACGTATGGGTACTTAATTTTCGTCTCCCTCACCTACATGAGCGTTCCGGGGATTACCCACCTCGTTGCGAGCTTCGTAGCGGTTTCCCTCCCCCCATGTTACGTGAGCGCGTGGGGAGGTTTGCTGGCCGTCGCAAGCCTCAAGAGAGGGATTTCTAAGCTAGAAAAATTATACCTTTGTAACGAATGACGACGACGGCGGGATGCACAAAATATTCTTTCCACTTTTTTTTTGCAATATCTCTTCTCTTTTTTCTCTTTTTTTTTTTAAATTTTGAATGCTCTCTCTTTCTTTTTTGTATATATATATTTACATGAGACATTCATGTATATGAGAATACATACATAAGCATAGATACATATTTATATAAGAATATTAGCTAAAGAACATAACAATATAAATAACATAGTATGTATATATAAACTAGCAAAGTTAACCCCATTTATATATAACGGAATATACACATGCAAACATAACAATCAATAACAGTAATAATATAAATAACTACCATTACCAACTAATAAAGACATTGATAATAATATTTACCATAGCAATTAATACTAGTAATGACAATGACTGTAGTAAAAAAAAAAGTAAAAAAGAAAAAATGTATATTTCCAACCTTGCAGATCATTCAATTTTTCTTAAACATAAATCCTTTTTTTTTTCTAAACTTAAATAAAGAAGACTATTTATCAAAGGTAAAGTGCAAATAGTAATTTTTTTTTAACTACACTCAAAGGAGAAAACTTGCCAATTCCTTCAGTCAAAACTTCAGAGAAAAAGGAGGTGCTTATGTACTTGGTTCAGCAAGTGGAAATGTTAAAGAAACTTGTCTTGTAGTAAAAAAAAACGTGGATTTATAGGTGATTGGCTGAAGGCTGGATAGGGACGGAGGGCATGAGCGGGTAGTCTATACTTAGTTGTTGTTTTGCGTGAAGGTGTCAAGGAGGAGATTAGAGGTAGTCTAGTTCAGCTCAAGTAGAGAGGACAACCTATGTTGCACCGATACGGATACGCGACACGGATACGACACGATACAGATACGGGATACGTCAATTCTTAAAAATACAGGATACGGATATACGACATTATAATATA